ATTTAAAAAAAACAATAGATATCAGTATGCGAATGAGATTGTTTTTCTCTCTGAAGTCAAAACAATTTTGGAGCGCTCTGGGTTTTCCCAAGCGCTATGTAAATAAAAGATTACTTATTATCTTACTAATGATAACATTTTTAAGACCAGAAACTCTTAATATAAAAAACAAGACTCAAATCTAAAAAAAACCTTTTTAAACTTTAAACTATGTATTATATACTTTTGTACTGTGTGATTAATTATCCATGAACATTTATCTCATCATTTATTTTACTAATTTAAAATAATTGCAGCATTTTTCAAATGAAGTCAGTATGAATTGGAGCACATTTTAGACCAGGCTCCTCTGCTGTGTGCATCAGCAGGAGTAAGGTCAGGCGTGTAGTCAAAACAAAAACAAAAAGTCGCCACTTGCATGTGAATTGGGTAGTTTAACTTAATAATATAATACTTTTACAGCCTAATTCCCTCTTTCTTTTTAGACGAAGTCTATAATCAATAATCACTTTTAACACAGATTCTAATTTAAATGTTTGAAAAATGGCTTTTGTAACTAAAATAAAAACATAAAAAAATTCTCACAAACAGCTATGAAATATATCAGAGATACAATAATGGACTCACAAATAAGCAGCAGATTTAAAAAGAAAAGCAAAGCTTTAGCACTAATATTTGGGTTTCAAAAACATACTAATTCAAAACTTCTATTTACTAAATGGTGTTTAAAAACGTTTAACTGTGTCATAACACAAGGTTCAATTGCAAATTTAGCAAATTTAAAAACTTAATAAAAGCCAAAATCCTAAAAGCAGTAGCTTTGCTCTGATTCAGAGCCAGAGCAGCGAAGGTGGGGGCCGTTTCCCTGACAACGGCAGCAAGATAGTGCGACGCACACAGGCAGAAAGTAGTGTTTTAGCAAAAATGCAAAAACAGAAAGAAGAATAACTTTCAAGATTACTTTTAAAAGCGAATATAACTGATGTTCTTTATACTTTTGTCATCCAAGTCTAGAAGTGATCACTTTCCACACTAGTAACAAAAGGCACTCTTACTTTAACGTACGCTTCTATTTTATCGAGGTAGCAAACTAGTTTAAACTCAAAATCTCTTTCTAAAAAACAAAAACAACTGTTGGATACAACCCTCTCATAGCTTAACTGTAGATATAACTCGGCAAAAAATGTAAATAACTCACGAAAGCTCTCATAGCTCAACTTTAGATAAAACTCTGCATTCTCCGGTGAACTCTGTTCACTCCAAAAAACAAAAACTCCCTTTTTCTGTATGTAATTTAAACCGTGATCACTGAAATATAACAGATGTTATTGCTTCAACTTTTGTCACTCAATAAACTTGAAATTGGCCAATTTCAAGACTTTTGCAACAAAGGTCTCTGCACTCGTTTTTCCTCCCTTTTTATTTATTTTTTATTTTTACACCATGGTTTCTCTCAAAGGGACTTTAACCCTGAAGCTTCTTCTCAAAGGGACTTTAACCCCGAGGCTTTTCTCAAAGGGACTTTAACCCCGAGACTTTCTCAAAGGGTCTTTAACCCCGAAAACGTTTTCTCAAAGGGACTCGAACCCTGAAGCTTCTTCTCAAAGGGACTCTAACCCCGAGACTTCTTCTCAAATACAATTTAGAGAGTTTGACAGACCCCAAAAACAGACCAAAATTTAGCTAGTATCCAATTATGCACACTTTACATATAAAAAGGTGTCTGCTTACCTTATTCTTGTCAAACCGGTTCCAAGGACTGTTCGAGAGGTCTGCCAACCTCTTTTCCGCGTCGGAATATTCAATTTAAAAAACAAAAGTGACAGAAGCGACAAGAAGCATCCAGGAACAGCTCTTCCAGCCTGCTGGAATCTCCGCTCCCAGACACAGCATGCCGATCTCTCACGCCGAGGAAAAGAAACAGAGCAAACTCCCTCAAAACAATCCAGAGAATGGCACAAACCGAGCCGCGCATTCTCCACCAAATCTGTTAGGATTTAGCAGACAGAGACGGATCGTGGTGTGCCAAACTCTGGAAGTTTATTTAAGTTTCTCTCAAGTTCCACTGGTTTACTCTGTTTCTTTCTCTCAGACAGAATAAAGGCAGTACACAGTTTATATAGTCATTGTCACGTCACACATCGAAAGACATACGTGTCACAAAGAGACAGTCACATCATAGTCATAACATGGAGTCCTTGTACAGTCCTGCACGTAGGCCATATTGCTATCTAATACTAATACTACTACTACTACTCCTACTGCTGCTGCTGTTGCTGCTGCTGCGGCTGCTGCTGACAGGTGTTGTTTACTTAAATTATGTGATTATTTGTTTTATTTTAATTTGCAGCGCCCGTCCCCTCTCTCCGCGCACACCCCACCCTGCTCTTCCTGTCCACGCTCATGCCTCTCACTTTCGCTGCCTCTGCTGGAGTTTGTTTAGATGGAGAGATAGTGGGGAAGTATATTTAGACAACATATGTTCCACTGTCTGCACACTAAGCTCAAAGTGAAGAGCACTAGAGGACATGGCAGGCACAGATCTGCACTTAGAGTCTGCTAAAGATACATACACGATTTTTTTTTGATATTGTAGTGTTCTCTTCAATTTTTCTAATTTTTCTATCCAATTGGATTTTGTGCAAAATACATTTCACAGGGTTAAAAATGTGCACATGAGTTTAAATACATGAAATCTGTGTGTGCTGTAACTCCAGACACCTCATGGAAATTGACAAACATGCTTAAAATTCACTGGGGAAGAACAGCATTTTTTTTGTTTTCTATTTTATCCCTTTAAAATGTTATTCTAATATCCATGTGCTCTTTATTATAATCCATAGGTTTCAAAGGTGAGCAGGAACAAAAGACACGGGCTGAGGCTTCCAATTAGATTTTAGGAACTCTTAAAATATACGTACATACTTGTGTTGGATTATTTGGGGTCAAAAATAACCCCCAAAATGACAGATTACCACATGAGCAGGACTAAATGATGAATGCCGGTATATCCAAAGAAAATGGAGAAGATTGGTGCTAACAGCAAATGACAGGCCTCCCCCGCTCGCTGCTATCCCTGTCTGTAGTTTAATCTCTCAAAGATAACTATGACACACGGACAGAGAACATGTGCCAAGAGATAGAGACTGGAAATCCCACTTAGGCCTTTTTTAATGATGAATAAGTGTATCTCAGCTCCGAGTGAGGGGTCAGGGCTGAGCGAGGTGCATATGCAAACTGTGATGTCATCTGGTCTGTGGGCCTCCTGCTATTTTTAAGATAATCACAGGTATTGCACCGTATTGCATATTCTAGTTTGATGATTGCTGCTAATAGGGATGGATTGTATTGTAATCTTCCAGACAAGGTTATAAATAAAGTTGTATTTTATCATTTTCATCACTTTTGTTGTTTTTTCCAGTCCTTTTTTTTGAATATGTAAAATATTTGCAGCCATGTTTAAGGAATACTGGTGACAAGGTAATTTTCATTTGGCCTATCCTTCAACGACGCTTGCACCTCATAACTTTTATTTATTTGAGTGTTATTCATGCACTTGGGCAAGGGATCAGCAGCAAGAGTGAAAATATTGAGTGAAGAGATTTTTGAGTCAGAAGAACCCTTTTGTTTCACGTTAAAATTGTGCAATCGCTCATTTATCCAGAAGTGAGTCTTTGCAGAGCAAGTTGCAAAAGTAATTTTGGATTGAAAGTTGGTATTCTCATTGCCATTTTGGTTTAAAAAAAAGGGAGCAAACGGAAAACGAGCTTCATATGTGCCTAGGACCGCTGATGTATCTAACTCTCTTGATCCAGAATCTGTTCTCATGAATGAACTTGACAACATTATGCCGTCTGCTTGCAAATGCTATTGTGCACTGGAAGGGTTGGCACTTCACACATTCTTTTGGGGTAAACATAGTAAAAATGGACTGGAAACTTCTTTTTAAACTGTTTGGTTGTGGTGTGAGTATACCTTCTTGCCAAGAGCCTGGGGTCAGGAATGTGACCCCTTCCCTTTTGTTGAGATGAATCCTTAACTTTGCATGACGCTGGAGTTTAGTCGTTCAAAATGATTTAGAGCCAAGCTGCCGTATGGAAACTTATCTAACTGTGAATTTGACTGCGTTTCAATTCAATTATTTCTTTAAAGAGAACACTATTAAAACAGTTAGGAGCCGTACAGGAGAATGTCATCGATGTTTAACAAATCCAACAGTCAAAAGCATTTGGCGTTAGGGTTGCCGTTAATTGTGTGCATGCTCTAACTTTTCTGGAGAATGGTCTACCCAGTGTATCCATGCTTGTGTAATAGCTTTGGCCTCCTATAGGTTTCACTGTGAGAGTAATCTGTCTTCATGGAGATCAGCTAATGAGGCCACCAGGCAAAGTTTTAGGTCAGGGTCATTATTTCTAAAACTTTACTTAGAATTGTTAACAAAACAAAAACTTGCACAAACTTAGCACAGATCACATTCTGCTTTATACCCGAAAGCCAACCCGAAATCAAACAGGATTCAGTATATTATTGATCAAAATGCTGTACAATATTTTTTGGACAAAATACAATATAATATGGGTAATCACATTATCAAAACACTATGCAATTATCTAGATCAGGGTCTCCAACCAATCATAAAGACCTGTCATTAATTATATAGAGAAGTCCATTTGGGCCCATTTCAGGAAAAGTGAGGAGGAAGAGTCTCCATGGAGTCTCGCAGGTGGCAGACAAGTTATTTATTGTGCACCTTTAACCTTGCAGTACCCCTGTGTAGTGTGCTGTGCTAAAACGCTCCAATTTCAATGTTAAATCATAAATTGGAGTTGTTTTGAGTCAGTCTCTTGACCCTGTAACCCGAAATGTAATACCTCAGTGGTAAGTTGCCATTTCAGAAGCAGAATTTGTCCTTTTAACCCCTGAACTCCTGGCGACAGTGGAGCCTCCCTCCCATCTGCAGCTAAATCTATGGCCCTCTCTACACAAGCTACAATGATCTCATGCCCATCGGACACTCAGCCTCTCCCCACACGCCCCGGGCATTTAACCCTGTGACGGACCAGACCTGCACTTCAAAGAGGAAAAGCAGCGGTGTCTAACTGCGGCTTCATTTCACCATCTCTTTCTTTGTTTAAGTTAAGGATAATTACAATTATAGGGGGATGATAGAGAGAGTAAGGGTGTCCTACTTAACCTTTATCACACTTCAGCTCTTTTGAACAACTGCAGACATTCATCATCCTCACAATCTTTTAATGACTTGTAATAGATGCTAAATCCAATGACAAATGGCCATGACGACATTGTAGCAATGTTACTGTTTTTAGATGCATACGTCCAAACATATGTTTACGATTTACTGTTTATTCAACAGGATCTGACTGGCATTTGGAATTGTGTTTACATTTTTGGTGGTGGATCATTTGGCGCATCCCAAATAAATCAGCATACACAAAGACTCCATCTGGTCTTCAAATTGCGTGTTCTTGCTTTGGGGCAGAAGTGGCCATTCTTCCATAATGCTGCTCATTTCCAGAAACTTTCCTCACTATTTAACAGATGGAACTCTTGTTTAATGTCAGAGGAACAGCATACAGCATTTTATAATATTAGGTGTACATTTGCAATTTACAGATGACTTGTTAAAGGACTTTGATTATGTAATAACATCAACCAAAGTTGTTCTATTATATGATCATCACACACTATTCATAAGTTTAAAGTGTTGGTACTTTTTGCAACGCCCCTTCACCCTTTACAGTACATCTAGTGACCTTATACGGACTACTGTATGATAGCCTTCCCATTATTTACTTAACAGTTTTGTCAGACTTTTCATTATACCTTGTCCTTGTTTTTAGTTTGACTTTTTCCTTGCCGTGTCCCTTTACTTATTAGTAATTCTCCCCTCGTGCTTTGTCACAATCTTTTAATTTCCTTTCCTACTACTCAAAAAATGCTCTTTTTCCCCCATCTTTAGTCTCTCTTTCCGCGTTCGCTGGCTCCTGTAGCAAGCCCTGTTGGTCCTGTCATAAATCTAATCCTCCCTCGTGCCTCACATTTACACCTCTTTTGGCGAGCCTATCTCCCGGGATGGCGCAGCTGTGAACGCGGGCCAGAGAAATGTAGAAATAGCTCACCTCTTCAGTTTGCTCTGACAGGGGCGATACGTCTAGCCTTGGTTTCCTGCTCATCTGGAAAGACGTTTATCACCAGAGTTGACTTATGACAGACGTGCACACCAATCAGAGCCCACACCAATGCTTCCCATCTATGTGATGTCATAGGACTGAGGTTAAGGGGTCGAATTCTACATCAATTTTGTGGGTCAAAAGGCAGATATCATTTGTTTGTTTCTATCTATGGATCCCATGAGCTGAAAGCATAGCACTCAACCCCTAGTCTTCCTGGGTCCATTAATTAAGTTACATATACAAAGTCAGTCAGAACAGGAAGGATTTATTTTTCCAGAAAAACCAAAATACAGCACAGAATATCATCCGAAGAGCCGTACCTTTACTCAACAGTTTTGAGCGTCTAAAAACCAAATAAATTGCTTTCAACATTTGTGAATTTGATCATTTCATACAGCAGAGATGTGTGTCCTTGGGCAAGACACTTAACCCCACTTTGCCCAAAGCGCCCGCTGAAAGATCAAGGCTATGCTCACACTCAGTGAGCAGCCTGTGGACTCACCACCTGCAGGAGGATCAGTGAGGGGCTGGTGCTATGTGACTTGGGTGGCATCTCTGACTGCCACCCCCCCCGACCCAGAAATGGATTAAGGGGAAAAAAATGGATGGATGGATGGAGATATTTTATTACAGGATTTTTTTCTCAATCCATTACAATCATATACAAGTCCATCAGCATTGTTTGAGCCGATTGTATTGTTGCATTGTGTTCATCTGTTTGTTTTGGGCTCCACTTCATGTCTCTTATGTTATTGGTGGGATAAAAATGTAGTTGTCTGAATCTGGAATTTGAAGGCACCAAAAAGTGTGCCCTGGTCCTCTATCATCTCTGTGTACTCACGTGCTTTGAAATAGTTCACTGATGTTATGAGGCCTGTTGCTTTTGCTGCACATTCTGACACCAAAATCATATTAGCATAACCCTTTCTTTGTGTCATTTATCTTACAGTGGGTCCAGAGAAGCAGTGTGAGCTGACCTGCAGACCGTCCGGGTACCGCTTCTACGTGCGCCAGGCTGAGAGAGTCCGTGATGGGACGTCCTGCTTCAACTCCAGCGCTAACGACGTGTGCGTGGAGGGCCAGTGTTTGGTGAGTGAGTGTGTGACATGCCTCATTGACGTGGTAAGGATGCCCCTGTCTCGCCAGCCTTTGAATAGACCACACTGGCAGAAGTGAGTGTCTGGTTTTGAAATTGAAGATTTAGGTTGCTTTTGACTAGTTTAGTTCTATCTACTTCTTGTACCTAGATTTCTTATTACAAGCTGTTTCGGACAATTTTCAACACATTTCTTTCTTCAGGAGGGAACTTATGCCAATGTGGTTAAAAAATATAATAATTTGAGAGAAAGCTCCTTGTAAGTTGTCAAAAATGTCTTCAACCAGTGACTTTTCCTTGTTCACACTAAACTATACATTATTGTGGCGCAAACCTTTCGTCAGTCAATAAAATAACATAATTTTTTTTCTCATTTCGTACCTTTTTGTCTGCTACTTGTTTGTTGCCATGGTGATGTTATGATTACTTTGTTGGAGTGCATTATGGTATAAACATTTAAGCAACATTACAATTGCTCAAAACTGCTCATACACTGTGTTGGCTTGTCGCCCCGCTGATATAACTTTTCATCTAGTGCAGTCTCTTGCTTGTCTCCAATGTAAAGGGAAAGATGTAATGCCATACTGGGGAACATTCCAGACAGACAATTAAGCTCATTAAGATGGACCCAAGATAAAAAAAGCAGACACGTGACCAAGAAAGTTGGCTTATTATTTTCCCTTTTATTCAATGTTTTTGCAGCGCAGGCTTCGAGTTCAGCTTGGCATCATTACTCAGACGGTCTCCCATCCCGGGCCTCTATTGTCTGGGTTTCACTTTGTCTCCTGTGCACATGTTTTCTCTCTCTCATTTCGCCCTCCTGAATATTTGGCTGCTCACTGATTTACGCACGAAACAATGAAATAAACCCTGGCAGTGGATTTTAAATGTCAACAAGGATTCCAAATATCAGCTTTCCTTTGTTACTGCGCCTCCCCCATATTATCCATTCTTCTCTTTGCTTTCACCTTTTACCACTTTTGCTGCTCGTATCAGAATCAAAGCAGTCAATAATACCAGTTTTTGTAGTGAGTGAAATTGTATTTGTTATAGTATTGTTTGCATTAGCATCTGCAGTGATAAATGCATGTATTCTATGTGTTCGCTACTTTCGCAAAACCATAATGCTTTGCGTGTGTGGGGGCATGCCATAGATCTATCGCACACAAAACTGATTTTGTAGTCAATTGGGGAAACAGCTTGCGTCCCGTATCATTCCAACAGTGTGCAGTTCTGCAAACAGCCAGCAGATGGCAAACATTTCTATTGTTTTAGTGCACCACAACACTGAGGTCAGTGGTTTTAAAGTGTTCCTATGGTCCTTCTCATCAGGACTCACACACTTCTACTCTGCAGATTTACCAGTGTGTCAACTTTACTGCTTACGGCATCTATGGATGTAGCCTCCAGATGCAAAGATGTGTTATGTGCAAGTTCCATAAAAGCCTTATGTCATAGTTTGATGCTTGAACTTTGTTTAGTTCTTGTTTTTCTTTTTGGTATGTTTTTATGTTTTAATGTACGGAAAGATTGTGTGCAACTGTGATTGCATCTTTAGATACATTTGGGGATTGCGTTCATTTATATGTACTGAAAATCAGATAACTTACACCTTTTTTCCCCTACCCCCTCCCTTTCTCTCAGTCTGAGGGATGTGATGGAATCCTGGGCTCTGGATCTGTGATTGACAAGTGCGGCGTTTGCGGCGGGAAGGACGCATCTTGTCGCAAAGTCACCGGCAGCTTCCAGAATGCCACCGTTCCCCTCGGTTACCACAAACTCCTGGACATTCCATCAGGAGCCACTTTTATCAACATCACAGAGAAACGCGCAAGCCCCAACTATCTGGGTAGGTTTGGACACTCACGGAATACATTATGGAGGGTCGACCACTCTCCTAGAGCAGTAAGCCCCATGTACAACCCATAATAAGACTTACTGAGCAATAACATTTTCTTTGAGACAATAAGATTGAAAAGTTATATAGAACACCTTTTGTAGTTTAAAACTGATTCATGTGTTAACTGAATATTAATATTATATCATATCAAACTTGAGGAGTTACTATTATGTCTATTTATTGATTCATTTTGTTGGTAATTACAGATATTTTATTGATATTTTCCAATGTTTTAATTGTATAACGACATAACGTCATTTCATTATTGCTTATCACAGAATTTCTTTGTAACAATATATCGTCCATAAATGCTTTTATTGTTAATAGTTTATTTACATTTTGAAATATCCCCATAGTCGGATGAATAAAGTTTTATCTTTATCTTATTGTGGATTATAAAAATGACTATCACTAGTCTCCCAGATCTCATTCGAACAATAAGAGTTGCTTTTATTACATATCTATAGTGAGAATAACAAAATTTGGCTCTTCGATATTAGGAAATAGCTCAGCCTCTCGACCTTGGTCAGTCCCATGTTGCTTTCATTAACATTACGCAGAAACATGCAAGTCTTAACTACCTGGGTATATGTTGGAACACAACTCATAAACAACTGCCTGATGTTTTCGCATGTATTTGAGGATTACGTTTCCAGTTTGTGTGTGTTGGCCTAGAAAACACTTTAAGTCGGTGGCCTCTTCGACTTAGCTCAGATAAAGCTTGTATTGTTAGACGCCAATAGGGAATCAGTCAAGTGTGCAGAACCGTGTGTGCTTTTCGAGGCTTTCCGCTATTTGCTAGACAGAATTTAAAATGTTTCTCTGTCATTGAGCGCTTATGGAGGGGTCCTAAAACTCCAGACTAAACAAACTGCAAATAGGATTAATCTGGGTCTTGTTTGTGTGACCTGTTTTTTGCACAGCCATGCGCAGTGGTACAGGTGCTTCCGTGGTGAATGGGCGATGGGCTGTGGACCCTCCAGGAGAGTACAAAGCAGGGGGCACCACCTTCACCTACACCCGACCCAAAGCTCAAGCTGAGGGGGAAGAAGAGCGAGGAGAGACCCTGACGGCACCCGGACCTACCACCACACAGCTGCAGCTTTATGTGAGTCAATAGTGTTAACCATTAATGGGAAGGACAGGGCCCCCCAAAGTCCACTTTTCTCTAATGCAGGCAGCCAGACGAGAGCTGCCTGTATTTGGCAGATTCAGCAGCTCTTTTACCAGCAGTTGTTGGCCCTCAACCTTCTTGGAGACTTCACAGTTTCTGTAAGATCAGGATTCCTCCAGTCAACCTTCATGACTTTAGATTCATATTTGTTTTATTTGCAGTAAACCCATATAGGAATACAAGTCCCCAGTGTGTACAAGACAAGTACATACATAAACAAGGTTAAAAGTACAGAAATAAAACAACACAAAAGTTTCAATAAGTGCAAGATTGTTAAAGTGATTTGTTTAAACTGATAACAGATTGTTGAAAGAAGCTGTTTGCAAAATAGATGTCTTGCATCTCTACTAATTATATCTTCTTCCAGAGGGAAGAAGCTGGAACATTGCTTTTCCAATGTGGCCAGAGGGGTGGCCAGAAGAGTCATTGATTATTCTAAGAGCTCGGTTTAAAAGTATGGATTTAAAAAGAACCTCCAGAACAAGCAGCTCACAGCTCACAGTCCTCTTTGCAGAGCATTTCTTTGTCTGTGATGTCACAAAACCACACAGTCACAGAACCAACGAGCAAACTTTCAATGGTGCAGCGATTAAAGCTAATCAGGATCTTAGAGTTTGTGCTAAATTCTTGAAGTTTCCGCAGAAAGTAGAGACGCTGACCAGCTTTTTTAACGACCTGATTAGTGTTTTTATCCCATTTCAGGTCATTAGACAAAGTTAAACCCAGAAACCTGCCTCCTCTACCATCTGAACATGGGAGTTATCAATAACAATGCATGTTAAGCATGTGAGAACTGTTACGACTAAAATTAAATATATAGTCACATGTTTTGGATATGTTCAGCTGGAGGTTGTAATCTTTACTCCACTGAACAACCCTTTGGATTTCTGCGCTGTAAGAGGATTCATTATGAAATGAAATGAAATGAGACCAATGATGGTGTCATCAGCGTATTTAATGATCAGAAGAAGACTCACAATCATGAGTGTACAATGTAAAAAGCAAAGGACTCAAAATACATTCCTGAGGAGATCCAGTTAATTATTTTCCCACTGTGGGACAAATAAAGCTTCCCTTATCTTATCTGATCCTATCTTACCTATTATTCATTGCATACACAGTGATAAGTTACTGCTGCAGCCACAACTGCCCGGGGATAGATTGAGATTGAGATGCCGATCGGCACCATCAGCCACAACATTCACAGACACGGTCATCCTGTTGGTAAAGTGGGTGAACTGCCTTGACAATAATGCAGTGTGTACTTTCAAGCCACAGCCGTCTCGAGTAGCACCTGGTGTTGCGTACACGATCTCCCATCCAAACATTAACCAGGCCTTGACTCCTAGTTTACACCGTACAGTAGAAACCGGAAGTAAACATTATGTTAAAAAACATTACATTTTCTTTTCCAACCTGCTTTAGGTCAGTTATATTGTTGGACTTTATATATTAGTTCCTACAAAGTCAGAAGTCAAATTTGCAACAGTAACTAATAATCATCAACATCGTCATCAACATTTTAAAGAAAGCCGCTGGGCCACCAAGTCTCTCTCGAAACATAAAGAACACAGTTCTATATTAAGTGCTCACCAAACATGTGCAATGTAGTTTAAATTAAATTACTGATACAATCACCCACACACATGCATGTGGCCGGGCATTTTCAAAATTTCAACTTTCTTAAGGCCGGAGGCGGAGGTCCTCTGCTCAGTGTCAAGATCTCACAGATAGACAGCATTTAGAGAGCCTTTTTCAGTATTACGAGTGGATAAAGAGCAGACATGGTGAAGCCTGGCCTGGATCCTATCAACCTAATAATAACAAGTCCATCCCCTCCATCCCAGGATCAGGTCCAGCAGCTTTAAGGCACAGGGGGTAAACATAACCAAGAATCACATGCATTCTATCTTCAGAAAATGATATAAATCCCAAAAAACACCACCCAAATGTGAGACAGAATATTTAATATAAAGATGAGATGTGTGGCATGTGCAGTTTGAAAATATAACACTGCTTTAATACAAAAATATTCACAGGACAATTGTAAATCAGAACAAACCTGGACAAGGGCACAACTCAACATTATCTTTTCATTTTTGTGTGAAATAATATTAATCCATGTGTATATTTTTGTGTTTCTCTTCTCCAGATCATTTTCCACCAGAAGAACCCGGGCATCGACTATGAGTTTTATGTCCCTGTTGAGAAGCCGGCAGAGCGTGTGGTGGAGAGAGCAAGAGATCCACCCCGAGAACCAGCAGCACGGGCCCCTCTGCGCAGTAAGTCTAGGACTCGATGCAAACAGACACTGTACTTTAGTACGATTTATGTAGGTTGGCTTATCCTCGGTATGGATATAGATAGAATAGTCTAAAATAAAAACGCAGGGCTCATATAGCAAGGCAACTTCATTAGTACAGTTCAGAGGTGTCAAAACCTTTTGGTAAGAGGGCCACTTTAGTTCATCAGACTTGACCTGGGGCCGACAACCTTTATTTAAAAAACTGGATTTGAGCTGGATTGACTGGATTCTGGATTTCAAAATTGTATATGCTACGTCCTTATTGATTCACACCACAGCTGCATTTTATGTGGAATGTTGTGACACAATCATTAAACAAATGTCAATATATTAGAATAGATTAGATTAGATTCAACTTTATTGTCATTACAATTCAGAACAATGCAACAAAATGCACTTTAGCATCTAATAAGTAGTGCAATAGTGCAAGTATAGGATAATATTTACTACACAGATAAATATATTTGCATGTATGTGAGACTGTACAAGCTGCTATTGCTAGTATACATATCCATTATATCACAGTACATTAAAGTGCATCTAATGGGCTTTAATAGGTTGAGAGTTCAGGAGTATATATATATATATATATATATGTATATACTTTGTGTTAGCAGCGGAGGGCCACAAAAAATGGCACAGAGGTCCGCAATTGGCCCCCGGACCTGAGTTTGGACATGCCTGATATAGTTGAATCAATTCAAAGTGCTTAACCAAATCTAAAATTTCAGATCACACTTATAGAACAGTTATTTAGGTAATGTACATGTTCTGAATCTGAGCACCAGTGGAATGTCCCTGTGTTCCTCAAAGTACCAGCTCGGTCATATCTTTTGTATTATTATTTTGTATTATTTTTTTAAATCCTTTTTGCAGGTTGCCTCTAACGTGACTCTTTATTTAGCGAGTTAACTATATGTCACGGTTTTTCACAGACAAGGCAGGGTCACCTTTGCCATGTTTAGTGTATTTTCCATTCACTCCACACACAGTGACTGACAGGAGTGGGATTGCCACACACCACCAACCATTCACACCCATTGCACATGATTTTAATGGCAGGAGAAACCAGAGCACACAGAAACTTACAGAGAGCACACTCAACACACTACAACTCAAATAATCCTAGTTCATATTGCATTGAAAAAGAAAAACAATATCTTGTGGATCCACTGGGATTATAGCTCTCAGTCAAAACAAGTTGTTGAGATATGAAGTCATTTTTTGCACGTATTCACCAGCCCTAATCAAATATACAGTTCTGCATTAGTCAACAGCCGAAACCCGACTGCAGAGGAATAAGTGGCATGTTTATTGCTGGGTGGAGTTGCCGGGTCAAGTGGGCGTGGGGGTTCTGCAGTTCATTTCTTAGTGACCTACTTGAGAGAGCTGAGGTGAGGCCTGTATCTAGTCTCTGTCATGAGCCCCTGATCTCATATGACATCACAGCTCTGACTCACAAGCTTTTCCTCCATCTTTCAACTCTAATGTCTGAGTTTCCATCACTTATATCGGCCGTTTCCCAATCGTCCTCCCTCCGCCGTCCTCCAGTGAGCTATACTGAGCCCTTTATTTTTCAGCCACTGAGGTCGTCATGCCAACTGTTCATGTTATTGTATTCTGATCTTTTTGACTAGGATAGATTTATTTGCTTGTCTACAAAATATGTTTTAAGTGAGTTACTAAAGCAAATTTACAAACTATTGAAACTACCCCGATGTGCGGTTCAAAATGTAGGCAAAACAAATGTAATGTTCAGCTGATCATGAGTTAAATGTGGAACAAGTGTAGCTTCAACAGAGTGTTAAAGTTCCAACAGAATGCTGAGAGGGAGAGAGGTCCACAGTTTGGGACCAGCCAAGAACGCTCTTCTACACTTGGAACTGGTCCAGCAGACAAAGATCCAAAGACCTACGTATTTGCTCTGGATGTGAACAAAGACAGTAGTTGAAGACATGTATAACTAGTAAATAGAAACTTTAGCCTAAATTAAGGCTTAAGATAATGACGGTCAGTAAACAACTCTTGGTTCATCAGACTAAACCTCATACCTTTAACTTTGATGGTAAGGTTAGTATGACATGTTATACCTCATTTTAAAGCTCAAGAAGTTTCTCAAGAAAAACAAACAAAAGAAAGCTTCAAACATATACCTTATTTTATTTTAAACACATCATTATAAATAGTTAATTTAAAACTTTGACCCAGATTTTGGTTTGGTTCAGTCCAAACATACAGTATCTCAACTGTTTTTTTGTGGAGAAAATCTACCAGAAAAGAATCCAAACTCATTAATTAAGTAATCCTTTTAAAAACCTTCATAATAAGAATATAAGAGAAATGCATAACATGGTAAATAATATCCTCAGATACAAAAAGCTTCAAACACATTTTGTCTGCTCCTATTTCTTGAACCCAGCCCCTGTCCAACGTGAGTTTGGCACCCCTGATGTAAACAATTCAAAAACTATGTAAAAAAAATATAGAAAATTCTTTGTTCAGTTAGTTTTCTATTATCTAGATGTTTTTTCTACTTTTAAATACAAACGTGTGCTGTGTGTTTTTCTCAGGTCCTTTCACGGTGTCAGTTGAGGACCCAGCGCCTGCAGCTCCTCCGGTCTCCAGCTCTGTCTTCAGTGCTCCTTCTGCAGAGAGGTGGTCCCCAGATAGGTCCCAGGCGGCCCGGGGGTCTGCCCCCAACAGGAACGTGCGCATCCCCCCTCGCACCGACCTGCCCCTGGACACTCAGTCACCGTTCGTATGGAGGAGAGGAGCGCTGAGCGAGTGCACTGCTTCCTGTGGAAAAGGTCAGGGGCTCATAATCCTATTACCAAAGCACAATGCGTAATTCAGCCGAGAGCTCAGGACGGTGATGTGGTCATTGCATTTTGGGATTTACAGCAGAAACAGTAAAAACCAACGTTGTTCAGACGCAAGACGCAACATCTAGAGCCAATTTAAAGTGATTCTTTGATGATGAGGTTATTCTATGGCCTTTACTGCTTTACTTTGAACATTTTTGCTCTTGTATCTCTTCGGAGTTGTATTTTAATGTCCCCAAGGGTCCAGTCACATGACAACATTTTAAAAGCTATTGATACAGAACCACTATAGAAACAAAGTAGTCCCAAATAAGACTTATTTTAGATCCTTGTGGTGCTTGGGAGGCAAAGGCTGTATCCAAATTCATAAAACTACCTCCTTCTGTTTCCTTTGACCTTGGTGCTAAAATGTCTTGAATATGACTTAACCTGGAGTTCCATGTTTTTTATAATGGAAATTATAATGTCAAGGAAGGAAAAGAAAGATTTGGATTCAGCCAAAGTATTTTCTTCTTATGTGAATGTACTTCTGTGAAAAGGTTGAGAGTCACTGCTCAACAGTCTAGCCCAGCCATTCCCAAACTCAGTAACACCGAGGCCCCCTTAAAAATCTGACGGGTCTGCGTGGCCCCCCAAAATAATAACCAAGAAGACAACATTAAGAATAGGCTCTTCTGGTTATTTTATTTTGGGGAAATAGCCTCTGCTACAAACATTGTAATACAAAAATGATTACAGTGGATTATTCAAGTCAAATAATGAACACAAATATTTGAATATTACAAACAAAACATTATAAATTTAACATTAAATAATTATATTATTTTTTTATTTTTTTATGACCTCCCGCGGCCCCCCTGCAGTACCCTCGCGGCCCACCAGGGGGCCGCGGACCCCACTTTGGGAGACACTGGTCTAGCCTGATAGACGGGACTAAATGATAAACAGTCTCCCTCCTCTGGCTGGTGGATGTTACTGCAGTGTGTTGATTGAACTACTGACCTGTTAATCTTCATGATCTTTGTTCCTTTACAAATGTAGGAACTCAATACAGAGAGATTCTGTGCATAAACCGCCACTCGGACCAGGAAGTGCCAGAGAGGAAGTGTGACTCAGCCACCAAACCCTCACCGGAGGAGGAGCCCTGCAACACTCACCCATGTCCTCCTTTGTGAGTGCACAGTCATGCTTCATAAATCACCTCTGCTTCTATTATGAGGAGAGCAGCATCTCCAGAAACTAAATTATTATGTTTTCTAAGCCAACAAGTTATTATTATCCAAAGAAGATGCTCTTTTTGTGTGGGAATTTCACTTTTGTTTAAAAAGCAATGTTGCAGGTATTATGATTATTTTTCTACATACTTAAATACATTGAAAGACCAACTAACTATATTATTATAGTATATTTCCCACTGTCTGTAATGACAAACAAGTTTATGCTGTCGTTATCTTTCCACATAATAAATCTCATGAATAATGATCATTTTCATTGATGTATTTGTCAGCTGGGAGACCAGTACATGGTCCGAGTGCAGTGTGTCGTGTGGTCCTGGGCTGCAGCAGCGACAGCTCCAGTGCAGACAGAGTTTTGGGGATCGTCACACCATGGTCCTCCCCCAGCGCTGTGCAGGCCTTCCCCCGCCACACTCCACTCAGCCCTGTCAGCTCCGCTTGTGCTCCCACTGGGAGGTCAGCTCTGACTGGAGCTCGGTGAGTCCAACAACACAAGTCTATTATTATGTCATATCAGGCTCCATGGAGCACATTCACACTGAGGAGGAACCTGGGAGTCTGGGTACTTTTAGCTCTCGCCCAAGGAGAGACTCGGAATTCTTTACCTCCACCCACAGGTACAAGGAAATGCTGTTTCACTTTTAAACTAATAGGCAGTATTTATTAATCCACAGTTTTTGCAGATTTGGTAACAAATATATATATTTTTCTATTAGAACATTGGACTCTGTACACAGTGAAATACATTATGATAAACCAGTGTAAAACAGGACTCCTCCATCCCTCATCTCCAAAGGGTCATGGTATCAGTGGGTGTTATGGTGTTATTCTCCTGGGCCAACAGAGCGTCTGGGACTAAACTTGGCTGTAAACATTGTTCGGTGTTCTTTTCTCATTGATTGTGTTGTTTCTGCAGTGCTCGGTGGACTGTGGCGTGGGCAGCAGGTCCAGGAGTGTGCGATGTGTCAGTGAAGAGGGCGGAGAGGTCAACGATAAAGAGTGTAACACCAGACTGAAGCCTCTGGGCAGCGAGGAGTGCAACATGGGCCCCTGTGTCACCAACTGGTACTTCAGCGACTGGTCCCAAACTGTAAGGCACTAAAGAAAAACAGACTTATGTATAATCAAGTAGCAAAAGGGATTAAGATTAAGATATAGATAAAAGACAAAGCTATGGCTATAACATGTAGTCAGAGAAAATATCACAAAGAAAGAAATGAAAGCATTTGTGGGCCCAGTTGCTTTTACCTCATATTGACAAATAAAGTCTAGTCTAATGTGGGAAGTGAAATATTTCACAGGTTTTGGTTCAACTCCCTTTTGAACAGTTGTTGTATGTTCTTCATAAACTGTGTGTGTGTCCAGTGCTCTGCGCAGTGTGGTCCCGGGGTGCAGCGGAGGGAGGTGGTGTGTCTGACCCACGGTAAAGAAGAAGGGGGAGAAGAGAACTGTGTGGCAGAGCGACCCGCCGAAATGAAAGCCTGTAACGGAGGCCCCTGTGCAGCCGTCACCATGTGGTACAGCAGCCCCTGGACTCCGGTAAGTGGGGGGAGGAGCTGAGTTATAAACAGTGAAAAATGAAAGCTGATATTGGAACTCATCTAACTTTCACATTAGTCTTCACATCGCAATCATTTTGAGCCACTAGCACAACCATAACACAGTTTTAAAAAAAAGTGAAGCAGGGTGGATTACTTTCATATAGTGACCAACATGGATATTGTTTACAAGTATTTAAACTTTCACATTCTGAAATCTCTGGGATTTTTTGTAACCAGGAAAGTCCCCGAGATTTCAGGATCTCTTTTTCAGAAGAGTCCTGGCCCCAGAGAGAGGGGGCTGGGAATGAGGTCGAGGACTAGTGTACATGTTTTTAGTGGTGGGGAAAACCGGAGCACCCGGAAGAAACCTACACAGACACAGGGAGAACATGCAAACTGCACACAAAAAGGTCTGATGGACCTCTTGCAGCACAAGCGCTAACCACTGCGCCGCTGTGCCACTACGCCCAAGTAGACAATAGTTCAAAAGTTTTCTCAATGAAGGTTTGAGAACATTCTGGGTTCGCAACAAACTTTCTTGAGGGAAAAACTGAATGTATGAAAAAGTAAGATAATGTATGAAATAGTAAGATAAAAGGTCTTCCAATAATCCCTTAATCTGTCTAATGTGTGCGTTGTTTCCAGTGCAATGTGAGATGTGGGAGCGGCACACAGCGGCGGGACATCATCTGTGTGCAGAGGGCGGGCGCTGACTTCAGCGTGGTGCAGCCCGAGGACTGTTCTCATCTGGAGAAACCCTCTCCTGTGCAGGAGTGTGACCAGGGAGAGTGTCTGCCCCAGTGGCTCACCACAGAGTGGAGTGCGGTCAGTTTGACTTCAGAGTTTATACTTTCAGTCCAGGTTTAGTCGACAAAATCCCCAGTTAAATAAACTAAATCAATAATGGTTTAGTCAAACAGGAAAGCGTTATGTTTTGGGCTCTGGGATGGAAAAGTGGGACTTGGATTTTGTCTCCACTTCTGTTAAGTTATGTTACCAAATAATCTGCACTTCTACTTCACTTTTCACTTTCATTCATCTTTTATCTTATTTTCAAAATATTAGCCTGATAAACCACACCCTCTTTTTTCAGCACTAACAAAGCGCGTTTGGACACGGACAGTAACCTAGTTTCTAGTTGTTGATTTCTGAGGTCAAACCGATACAATCACAACAGAAATGAACAAAATGACGTCTCTACTTTTCTTCTTTATCACGCTAAAGAATGTTATTTTTTCAATTTTAAAAGTATAGAGTTTTGCGATTCTTGTGTTGTGTGCTCCTCATCCCTGTAACTTGTCATGCAACACTGAAATTTCCCCACTTTGGGACGAATAAAGGATCTCTTGATCTCAATCTTTGGGTTCTGTCCCAAAATTAACGACGATCAAACAATCAACAAATGTCATTCACCTGAATTATTCCGTACCATATTTTTACATTTGTCTGATTAGTTTATTCTGCTGTCATTCAGTGCATTATTCCCGCCCTTTGCTCCCATGGTTGCATGCTTTGACTTAACTTCTGTATCTAGAAGAGAAAGGGAGGTTTCTGGCTTGTGAGGCTGAGAAAATAAAGCATTCAAAACCTTATCTTATTCCACACATGCACCGCCAAAAGCATTATCGATCAAACCCATTCTTGCATGTCATTTGAACTTTGACCTTTCCAAGTACGTTTTATTTTTTTGCCTGTTAAGAAGTGATTCATGTTTGTTTCGCTGCAGTGCTCTCGCTCCTGTGGAAAAGGCGTGCAGATGAGGGAGGTGCGGTGTCTCACGGCTGATAAAAAGCACAGTGTGGATTGTGACGCTGCCTCCAAACCCGATCAAGAGCAGTTCTGCAACACCATCCCCTGCAGCCCACAAGTCACAGGTGAAGTCTGGGGCTGAGTATCATACACACAGATTACACACTTCCACTGAGAAGAAAAAATACACTGAAAACAACGTTGGAAAAATTACAGGTTGCATAAGTTATCCTTGGGCTGGGAAAATTGGGAGTTTTTTTGTATATATTTTTTTTGCTTCTACTGCATGCCTGAATTTCTCCTACGGGGGATCAATAAAGTATCTATCTATCTTATCCACTGTGTTTCATCTCTGGTCATTGATCTGATGCTCATTGGTCGATGCTGTGTCTCCGTTGTTTCCCGACAGATGAGAACTGTAAGGACAGACGTCACAACTGCGTGATGGTGGTCCAGGCCAGACTCTGCGTTTACTCCTACTACAAAACCGCCTGCTGCGCCTCATGCACCCAGAGCGCTCAGCGGGCGAAGAGACACTGACCGCAGAGGGGCGCCAGGTCCCAGGTGAAGGAGCGCACAGAGCAGCGGCTTGTGGCGGCTGCAGTAAGTGCGCCAACGCTGTAGGGATGTAACAAACAGTGCATGGGGTTCTCTGATGGAGGCGAGAGCCAGTGACGTACAGGGGCAGGTGGGCTCAGCACAAGTGTTTGCAATATTCAGTGGTTGTAAAAGTACTGTATTTAAAGGATTTTAATTTTGAAGCTGGGGTACCTAACTCTTTTCATGTATAATATTGTTTGTTCCAACAGAAAGAGTAAAAAAAAGAAAAACCCATAGAGACTAAAACATTCTGGGTGGGGTCTCGTCTAATTGACACTATCTCTCCATCTTCACGATATAAGTGATTGACCTTCACTTTAAGTTTGCAATCGTTATCAGAAAACGTTAAAGGCTTAGCTGTAGCACCAACTCAAAACCACTCCCCCCTCCCCTCACCTCTCCACCAAAACAAACATCCAGCATTTTCTTTTCTTTGTCACAACAGGGAGAGTGAGTGGCAAACGTGAAATTGACATTTTCTGTTCAGTTGTTTTAGGTTTTAGAAAATCCGATAAACGCATCCCATTGGTTTATTTTTATCGGTCCGCTCCAAAATATTTGTGATTCATTATTGGAGACTATAGGCATCTGGTCAATTCCATGACTATTTGAAAACACCTGATAACTTGGCTGTTGCTCTGTGTACTGGGTGCAGCTCTGACTGCCACCCCCCCGACCCAGAAATGGATTAAGGGGAAGAAAATGGATGGATGGATGATAACTTAACGACTTTTAGGGTTTAAAAGTACGTCTGGAAAAAATCACTGACTGCATCTTTAACAACAAAAAGGTTTTATTTGATTTCATAAATAAAGTCTTGCATCCACCACTGTCAATATTGCAAACAAAAATATACTTTAAAACAGTAAATGTACATAACAGATATAGTAAGGGGAAAGGCATGATGCGTCTGTGTCACATTTTGTTGCATCCCTGATATTTAACGCCGTTCAATCCAACCGTGAATGATTTTTCACTTCCTGTTTGTTTGACATCACCTGTGAGCCCTTCTCTCTTAAGCACAGTCCGTTTTCAGATTAAAGGAACCAAAGGAGTCTAGAAACGACAGTATGTGACCAAATATAGTTTATCACTGTGGCAATACATAACACAAGATTTAGAGGCTTTTAACGTCACAATTTTACACCATTTAATGTATGTTTATAGTTGGAGTCTTTAAATTGTATATTTTTAAAATCGTGTTAATTATCAAAAATAATTCACAAACTCTGAGAACTTTGCTAGAAGACGATGTTTTAGCTTTAAAACCATTCACTGACGGAGTTGCCTTAGTTTTCTTGTGGCCTTTTGACTGAATCGAGCAATAAGTTCTAAATCTTAAAAATGCTTGTTGTAGTAACTATTTGGTGATTTTCTCTGTTCAAAGTTTTTGCTCTTTTATTTTTCAATGCAAAGTACTCGCTCTCCTCAGTAGCTACTGGAGCGTGGAGTCGTCTGTAAAAAGTTGGATATGTTTTAATGTCTATAATTTCTAGTTGCCGCATTTATCACTGCCAAAAATAGTATCTGCACGAGTTACGACTTGAATTATTATTATCATTATTATTATTATTATTATTATTATTTTTAATTCTTGATTTCCTTGAACTAATGTTGAAAAAAATTGGATTTACTTTTTCTTCTGCCAAATCGACAAATGAGTCTCCCTGGGGCTGGTGCAGAGAGAATGAAATGTGTTATTTCTTCATTTGATATAAATACATTTAAATAAATAAAAAAGTTGGGGTTAAGAACAGATTATTTGGTTTAGGTGAGGGTCCCAACTCTCCCGATGATGTGATGTCCTACAGCCTCATATTTTTACGTTCTGTAACTTCCAACATATTATACTTGTCAGAAACTGCTTCTTGATTGGTGTAAAATTATCATTCATAATTCCATATTTTATATTTACATCAGACATAAAGTGTAGAGTAAAAGAAGCGTAAAAGCACTTTTAAACAAAAACGCTTTCTTCAAATTCAAATCCAAATTTTTAGTTCAAGTGTTTTTAACTCTTGTAGGTTTTATTTTTTGCAGTTTGACTGTAGAGTTATGAGATGTGTCGTTATAGACTGCATTTATTCACATCTAACCCATTCTTCGTGTGCGTAACAGTGGAGTGTGTGACTGTGTGTGACTGTGTTGAACAGGGCTTGACTTTAACTTTCGAGTTCTCTGACCAGAGCGTTTACACCAGACCTGACTGCACCATGACAACGAGAAAACACCAGATTTATGTTCGTTAAAGCACCTCAGTCTAAGATGCTTTTCACTCAATCTTGGTGTGATATGACGAATCCTGCCTTAAAGACTTTTACACAAATAGCAAAATCCAAAATATTTTTGGGAATTTCTACAGTTAACACTTTTTTTGGGGAATTTGATAGAAATCCAACAAAGTAGTGGCCTGAACAATAGAGGACAATTAAAAAAAAAAAACACAAATAGAAAAATATTTGAGAAAGATGAAGGAAACCATGTGTGGTCAGACCGCTGTATAGAAAGTTCTCTGGACTCATTGTCTCTGAGAAACAAGTCTGCTTCTGTGGCGCCCAAAGGGTTAAATAGCATCCTAAATAACTTTGAGTTTTTACTTGCATCTTGTCTGATATTTACAAAAGGATCAGAATGTAATTTCCCACTTCTAACAGTGGGTGGTGGTATTTCACTACTCCAGATTATTACTTTGGAAATTACACAATAGTGCCAATAGTTTTCTACTTAAAACAATGTATCCCATTCTAAACCATGAAGTAAATAATCTCATGTTTGTTATTTCACACAGAACATGGTGCAATTCTTCACTCAAACTCTACAATGTAAATTATGTCATCTTTCTTGTCCCGCTGATAATGTCTCGTCCAGAGTCTGTACAGTAGCCACAGATTGCAGCACGAGAGGCCACTGAGCCAGATGCGCTGAGAGACGATCCTGCTCCCAGATGTTCTTGTATGTCTCAAAAGAGAGACAGTTGTGTGTCCTGCTACAATGGCAGTAATACATAAAAAAAAGACTGATTATGGCTGACAAATGAAAACGAAGGGCAAAGAACAACAAGTTAAAGCTTGAATTGTTTCAATTGTAGTAAATATTTGAATCGATAAACATTTTTTATTTTTTGTTTTACGTTTTCAAGATTTCAAGATTCAAGAATGTTTTCACAATATTCAGATTGTTTGAGATGTTTTCAGCATTTATAAAAGTAATTGATTAGATGTGTAAAAAAAAAAGCTCAGATCTGATCAAAATAATAATAATAAAATAAAATAAAAAGAATAGTTATAATAATGTTGTCATAATAATCTTAAAATCACTGTTTAAATGCCCCCAAACAAAAAGATCCTAAATGTTGTGGTGTAAATTCTCTTTGAGTGGAGTCGTGTGCTGAAGTCAAGTCCTGTAATGTGTGTGTGTGTGCGTGTGTGTGTGTGTGTGTGTGTGTGTGTGTGTGTGTGTGTGTGTGTGTGTGTGTGTGTGCGTGCGTGCGTGCGTGTGTGTACAGCTGTAAATATGGCTCTGAATGTAACGTCACTGTCTTTAATCCTATGTAGAGAAAATACATTTTATATTAAGGATAATAGTAATTTATCAAGAAAATGTAATTTATTATTTGTTGTAAAATGCTGTAGTGAGTTTTCCTTGTGTTCAGCGGATGATATGACGACACTTTTGTAACAGTAAAGATGTGGAAAGATTACTGTAAGAAGCTGCATTTTATTTTCATTAAAAATTAAACTAGAAATGACTCAGTTTCTTTTCAATGTGAGCCGTGTCCAAAGGGTGGCGCTGTTGAGTCTTTGAGACGAGAGTAATCGTGAGGGGAGTTCTGAGGATGGCTTTCTCCTGTGTTTTTACTCTACAAGACAAAACCTGGACATTCTCACGTCCAGGTCCAGCAGGTCTTAGTTTAGAGATGGCTCTTTTCTATTCTAGTTCTGTTCTTGGCTGTAAACGTGGGTTGGGAAGTTACTAAAAGGCATATTCAATTCAGTTAATTTAAGTAACTATGCTGGGCTCTGTAATCTTATTTGATATTAAGCTACTCTGGTTCAGGGGGAAGTACTAACAACAAGAAGGTCATGAGTTTGAATCCTGTCTTTTGTACGGAGATGCACATTTCTCCCTGGTTTTTAATTGTGCTTATGTTTGTGTGTTGCTGTGTTGAAATGAGGTATCTTTTCACAACACAACAACTAACAAAAAGTGAGAATCCGCTCCCACAGATGGACAGTCTCAAGATCCAGGACACAAGCTGTAGAACGACGACTGAAGCTGTGATCTGTCCGGTTAAAACTTGACCAGATCCAAACCAAATGTCCATCACCATTACATAATACACTTAAGTCATCTTAATACAACAACAACCAGACTAAAATCGTTCAGATTCAGATTCAGGGGGTCTGCAGATGGAAATTAGCCTAAGGGTATAATCTGGCATATTTACATTTGTAAAAATGTTCATTAATTTGTATTGTTCCCCCTTTATCAACAAAAAAAAAAAAAAAATAAAATATTTGCCATTTGCAGTAAAACCACATGGGAAAAACTGTGCAAGACTACCCCAGTGTGCACCAGACGACACACACCAGAGCTCTTGCCACGGCGCCATCTTAATGTTCGTACATTATTATTATTACTATATACCAAGAACAAATGTTTAAAATGGTTCAAACGATTCTATAGTGAAAACAATGACAAACTCCTAAATGAGTATAAAGGCTGCATAGAAAGTATATTCCTTCCTTTTTTATTAAGATTAAGAGATTAAGTGATCCTTTATTTGTCCCACAGTTAAGAGTTTAAGTTGACTTTTGTGTAGTAGAATTTGACTAACGCAGCATTGAAAACATCTTTATACAGTATTCAATTTCACTTAACCAAACCTGGAGCTTCCTCTCATAGTTTCATTATTATGAGCCTTCTTACAGTCTATGGTAAATACAGATACATGAAATACATAAACAAAAGGAATACTTTGGATGTTGTAATAATCACCTTTTGCTTCACAATCCTGACGACAACTGGGCTCCTATTCTTTCCATTGAAATGTAAATGTTTTTAAATGTTTATTCGGTCATTAAAAAATATTATTTTCTGACATAAAAAAGGCATTAAGAGATTAGATCACAAAAACATTTTAGCTTATGTCAGTAGTGTACATGCTATAACATAGATTTACAAACGCATTTGTGACCGAAGGGATTTGGCTGAAGTATAACTTATTTTTGCCTAATCCAATCCATAAAGTAAAGTCTCAAGTTTGGGGCAAAACCCTTCAACATATACTGTAGCCAAACTAAATTTCAAGATCACGAGAAAAAAAATAAACAATAGGAAACGGCAGTAAACTGTTTTGTTAGTAATGCAGGAGAGCTGCCAGACCTATCATCCATTCATCATTCATCATCATTCATTCCTATCAAGTAAACCACACTCAGAAAGTTCAACACTGTTAAAAAATACAATCATTTAGTTTTGAAATGTCCTGAAAATGCTGATAAACAGGAATCGTACACCGTCTTCAAGGGAGACGAGTGCAGCCAGTTCTAAAGCTCACATTAAAACTCTGATTGTGCAGCTGAGATTAAAGACTTATTCACAGATGCTTTTTTTTCTTTGGCACGCTTCGGATCTGCACAGAAATGTTGAGCCTGATTGGCCTCTCGTCGCTGCAGAGATGGAGACACGGATTAATCCTCTGTGTGCGTGTCTCCAGCAAAAAGACAAACTCATTTTCTGTCTTGAGTGTTTCTGATCTGGATTTTAGTTTTAGTAACATTATATTTCAGGGAGAGAAAATTGTGCTTTCTCACTGTCGCTTTATTCAAGTTGCACTATTGTTGAAGGGGAGTGGTTCTGTGGGGATCACCACCTGCTTCTTGTTTCCATGGAGATGTCACTGCTTATTAATTTCTTGTTAATTCAGGCAATTACATTTGAGGTAATTATCAAAACTATCAAACAAGCGCTTCTGAAATTAAATGAAAATGTAGAAGGGTCACTGCAGGTATTTATTTAATTATTGTTTATTTGGTTGGGACAGTACATGTTAATGAACACATCACTCCGGATTGCAGCCATGGGCTAATTTGCACTCAGAAAGGCCCTGTTCCGACTAGGATTCGAACCCAGAACCATCTTGCTGAGAGGCAAGAGTGCTAGCCACTGAAATGCCAATGTTGCAGCGCACATACAGGACAGTAGAGCACACAGGGGGCCCACAAAATATACACAAAGTGGCTGCAAATGCTTCTATCAATCTATCTCTCTCTCTCTGTGTGTGTCTCTCTTTGTCTGTCTCTCTCTCTCTCTGTGTCTCTTTATCTGTGTGTGTGTGTGTGTGTGTGTCTCTCTCTATCTCTTTGTGTGTGTGAGTGTCTCTCTCTCTGTGTGTCTCTCTCTGTGTGTGTGTGTGTGTGTGTCTCTCTCTGTGTCTCTCTGTGTCTCTCTATCTGTGTGTGTGTGTGTGTGTGTGTGTCTCTCTCTCTGTCTCTCTTTCTGTGTCTCTCTGTGTGTGTGTGTCTCTCTCTCTCTCTCTCTGTGTCTCTCTGTGTCTCTCTATCTGTGTGTGTGTGTGTCTCTCTCTCTCTTTCTCTCTGTCTCTCTCTCTGTGTCTCTCTGTGTCTCTCTCTGTGTGTGTGTGTGTGTGTGTCTCTCTCTCTGTGTCTGTGTGTGTGTCTCTCTCTGTGTGTGTGTGTGTCTCTCTCTCTCTCTCTCTGTCTCTCTGTGTCTCTCTATCTGTGTGTGTGTGTGTCTGTGTGTGTCTCTCTCTCTCTTTCTCTCTGTCTCTCTCTCTATGTCTCTCTATCTGTGTGTGTGTGTGTGTGTGTGTGTCTCTCTCTGTGTCTGTGTGTGTGTCTCTCTCTCTTTCTCTCTGTCTCTCTTTCTGTGTCTCTCTGTGTGTCTCTCTAAAACAGTAGAACTGAAAAGCTGAGGCCCGAATGTGTCTCCAATGAAGATCTAATGTCTACAGCTAAACTATGAATGTTATACCACCACACATTCAGCAGTATTATGAACACAAGGGTAAGAATAGATGCATGCAGCTTTCAATGACATGAATCTTCCCAAAATATCTAAGAGGGTGCATTATTTACAAAGTGGTGAATGTGAGAGAAAAACGAGAGCCACACGTCTGAGTCAGAGGCTGGAGTCCTGCCAAGAGGAATGGACCTTCAGAGTGAAAACCCGGGGGAAGTCTCTGCCACACGCTGCTGTTATTTATGGACTTATAGATTGTACCACATTATTAAAATCATATATATAGTCGTGCGTAAGCTAAACACTGCAAAAAGTGATGACAAAGCACAATATTTTAAAATGACTTGAGTTTTGTGATGAAGTGAACGTCCCAAAGCCAAAGATAAACCAGAGTTAAAAGTGTTAACAGGTCTCACATACTGTAGTCTCACTGAGGGACCAGGGGAGTCAAGGGCCTAGTAGGGAGGAAGCCTATATCACATGCTTTTAGTGGAACCGAAGCACCTGGAGGAAACCTGCGAAAAGTCGGATCCAGGACCTTCTTGCTGAGATTCTAAGGTAAATTAAGTGCAATGTTTTTCTTTTTATTCGCAGTGATGATGGAATAAGATCAGGCAAATGGCATCAGTCTTAATAGTGATAAAAACTATTACTGATTATCTAAACATAAAAAAGAATGTAAATATATATATATACACTTAACATTTTCGTGATAGACAATTGAACATGCAGCTTTAGTCTTCTTTCCCCTCAAAAAAAAAAAAAAACGTATACAGCTGGCAAACCTTTATTGTGTTACTTTTTTCTCTGTGCAGCACTTTGGAAACTTTTGTCAGATGTGCTAAATAGATTAAGTGGATTGGACTTGATTGGATAACAATAAATAATAAAAACCCACTGTATTCATACAGCAATTTTTTTGGACTCTCAAAGACGCTTCACAAAATAAAATAATCTTAGAAAAGCGAAACAATAACTTTAATAGTCATTCCAAAAATATATTTAAACAACTTCATTAAAAGACTTATCTAAACTCACTTTTGCAGTGCACAACTTCCTCATTTTAAAACTTCTTGCACTGTGGACGTCCTGCTATTTGCCCAGGACCAGACAAAGGCCTGTGATTTAAGCATTTATAACAGTTGTTTGAAATCTTTCTGTTGAATCGGAGTCTCAGATGGTGAATGCAGCGGGGGATGCTGCTCCACGGAGGGCTCAGGCAGATGGTGACATTTAGAGAGAATTACCATGAACCCTATGACTCTCACGTCTCCTCCTGCACCGCACACAAACACATGGATGTATAGCGGCGCGTCTGACTCAAAGGGAGAAACTCTCAGCTGCCAGTGTCATTACCAGAGCTCCAGACGCACACGTTTGAGTTGTGCTGGAATAAAACACTCGCATGATGCTTCTTGGTTCAACTAAACCAGGATTATTAAAAACGTTCAAGATCAAGCAAAGTCTGAACCCAAATTGAAGCCATTTCTGAATCAAGACACAGCTATTTCTGAGACCAAACTTGGGCTAATCAATTGTTTTTTTTTTTTTTTTTGCATCGCACTAAACCACAAAAGCAGTCATCTCGGAGGACCGTACAAACAGATCAGAGAATAGAACAGTTAGAACGCAGGAATTGCAATAATAACAAACACCGGAGCCTTTGTCTATTGGGGGAGGAAGACCAAAGTCCATAAATGTTGATAAATGTCCTTAAATGTCCCGGAGCATCAATAGACCCTCCTGCCAAAAAAATGAGAAGAAACCTCGAGGAAACTGGACCAGGTCTAAACCAAAAGGACTATTATTGCTCTAAGTCACTTAATATGAGACTAATCAACTAAATGTTTAAAATTGTTGAAGAAAAAAATTGTAAAAACCAAAAACAATACCAAAAAGAATATCTTAGGAGTGAGGTAAGGCTGCATAAGTCTTTATTATCCTTTGTTTTTCATTTTTACTGACATTTGTGGTATAGAATTTGAGAATCTTAAATCAGGGTTAAATTTTTCTTGACCAAACCTGGAGCTTCTTCTTCTCATACATTTCAGTTTTATAACACAAGGAAGAATTGTTGTTGAATTTTGATGCATCCTTAAAATTGTTCTCAAGACTCACCAAAGTCTAAGCCAAGATTGAACCATACAAAAACATATTCAGATCTATCTAAGGAGTGTAAACATTGAATAGATCTAATAGATGGTGACTGTTTGATGAAGTAAAAGTCTAAAAAAGTTTATGAAGGAAAATGTACAGTATTTTACACTTCTTATATGCTGAAGTCAGAGATTCTGTTCTCTGACATGTGCTCCTCAATACTGTTCTGTAACCGGTGATGCAACACTGACATTTCTCCACTGTGAATCCATCTGAACAGGTTGTGTAAGTTATTAAACAAATATAAGTCTCTTCTTTACAGGGGATATTTCTTCAGTGAACCCTTTCCAACCTAACCTGCCCTTAGCCATCCGTAAACTCCGGTTAATTATTATTTCCCTGATAATGTGGTAAGACCAGGCTATATCCAACCCGGTCCTGACCAGTTCTTGATGGTTACTTCTAAATGTACTGAGCAGGACCCCCCTCTCCAACACACACATGTTTATATTCGTTCCATAAGAAGATACTTTTCCAGCGCATTGCAAAATAGCGAAACGGAGGCTATTTAACAAAGTAGTGTCCTTAAAGTAGGCCAGCTCCATCCTCCAGCCATCTCCCTCCTCTGTCTGTCACACTCACTTTACTGCATGTACGTGCGCGTAGGCGTGAGGCAGTGCGTGCGCGTGCGTGAGCGTGCGTGAGCGTGCGTGAGCAGCTGGAGTGCTCGTGAGCGCGTGCGCCTCGGTGTCACGTCACGGAGGCGCGCGCCGCGTTCAGCACCACGGCCAGAGCTCAGAGAACAATAGAGGCGGGTAGGCACCGTCACACAAGTGCAAGACTCGATTGAATACAGCTAATACTTCTATACTACTACTACTACTACTACTAATACTACTTATACTACTACTACTACTACTACTACTACTATAACTACTACTAATACTACTTATACTATTACTACTACTACTACTACTACTACTACTTCTATACTACTACTATCACTACTACTAATACTATTACTGCTACTACTACTACTACTACTACTACTACTTCTATACTACTACTATCACTACTACTAATACTACTTATACTATTACTGCTACTACTACTACTACTACTACTACCTCTATACTTCTACTATCACTACTACTAATACTATTACTGCAACTACTAATACTGCTAAAACAACTACTGCTACTACTGCTACTACTACTACTACTACTAAAACAACTACTGCTACTACTGCTACTACTACTACTACTACTACTACTACTACTACTATTACATGCTACCACAACTACTATTGCTACAACTACTACTACTGCTACTACTACTGCTACCACTGATACTACTACTGTACTGCTCCTAAAACAACAACTACTACTACCACTACTAGTAGGCCCGGACTCTGAGGAGCACAGGAGGTAGCCTCTTACTGGTTCCAAGAGTCAGAACTAAACATGGGGAGGCAGCGTTTGAGATTTATGGAGCTAAAATCTGGAACAATCTTCCTGAAGATGTGAGGCTAGCATCTACTCTGGCAATTTTCAAATCAGGGCTAAAAACTGTTCTTTTTAGCTGTGCATACGGCTGAAGGATTTTATTGATACATACTCTTTTTTTTTAATGCATTGTGGTTATTTATTATTTTAATCCCGTGTGTGCTTTTAATATTTTAAGGTTTTTTTCATTACTTGTGATTTAATTCTGTTTTTAATGTATTTATTGTTTGTATATGTAGTTTTTGATGTTTCTGATTTGTCTGATATTATGTGGGTTGTGAGGCGTTTTGAGTGGCCTTGTGTTGGAAAGGCGCCATACAAATAAAGTTGATTGATTGATTGATACTACTACTGCTACAACTACTACTACTTCTGCTACAACTACTACTACTACTGCTAATACTACAACTGCTACTACTAATACTACTGCTACTACTAATACTACTACTACTGCTGCGTCAACTACTACTACTACTACATATTTGACAGGGACAGTGTATGTATGTATATATATATATGTCTGTAAATTTGTAAATTCTTGGATCTGTGTTGGTGAATCAACACTTGTGTAAAGTCCTCAGATATCACTGTTGTGATTTATTTTGAAATGTACAAAATAAATAGAATAGAAATGTATAAAAAATAAGCCACACAGAGGTTCCCTTCATTATCCCTGAGCTGCAACATTGATTTAAAATAAAGAGTTCATCACAAGTTCCTGTTGAATCATCGTTTTTACAGTTTTACATTTGAACCATTCAGATTATACTAAAGCAGTTGTTCTCACTCACATCAAGTACCACACAACAAACTATCATGTGACCTTCTGGGTACCACTACATCAACCCAGGTCTAAAACAGCGTCTGGATCTAGTTTGAGGCTAAACCAGGTCCAAAGAGGACAACACTTTTTTTCCCATTGTTGTTCTGTATAAGAAAAAAACTAAAAGGACAAAGTGCAAGAAGACATAGCAATAAGTAATAATAAGTGCAAAGTAATTAAAGTACAGACGAAAAGTTGTTTGAAATGTTGGACTGAGTGGATAGCACTCTCTCTTCTCAGCAAGAAGGTCCTGGGTTCGAATCCTGGTCGGAATAGGGCCTTTCTATGTGAAGTTTGCATGTTCTCCCCGTGTCTGTGTAGGTTTCCTCCGGGTGCTCTGGTTTCCCCTACCGCTAAAAACATCTACAATAGGTCTGGCATAGGCCTCCTGTGCTGGGGATCTTGCTCCCATCTCTGTGTGGAGTGAGAGACTAATGCCCACAATTGTAAACTGCTTTGTGACTCTGGTCTACACAATTTCAATTTATCATTAATGTGTGAGGTCATAAACAATAGAATTTAATTGAATACATGAAACACTAATATCAAATATCATGATTATATGATACTAAAAGTGTTATCTTCTTATAAATGTGTTGATTATGTTTATACATTCAAAGACGCTTCAAATGCCGCTAGTGATCCACCAACACTGTAGCCACAGCTGCCCTGCCACACGAGATTTGAATTCATATGGATGTGTATCATTATGAAACTTTGATGACTTTTAATGTAGATTTTTTTAATGTAAAAATCTGCTATCTGCTCCACAAATCCAAGTAAATATAATTGTTGGTGTTATTTTGTCGTAATAATCGCTATTCTTTCGTCACAACTATCTGTGTGTGGTAAAGATTTTGCGCGCTTTGCACAAAGGGCAAATGTTGACGGACCCTTGCAGTTGCGTCACGATCGTGATTGAAGGGGGAGGGAAAGAAAGAGCGGAGAGAGGGACCCGGGCGAAGAAGAACAAGAGCCCGAGCACAAGCAGCCAGCCGCCGGGGACACTCCAACACCGAGACGGGCTCCACGCATCGCCACACGCGGGGACAAAGCGGACTACAAGCCTCCAAGCCCCGGGATAGATCCTGCTCCTTATTGCGCGTGTTGGCACAAGTTAGTTTGCTTTGACTTGTAAATGTTACGCGAGGAGCGGTTTGGGGGATCACTAAAGCCAAGTTTCCCCTCATTATTGAAGTTTTTCTAATCTCACAGCAGCGCGTAGCAGACGAGTTGTATCTGAATTGTGTGGGACTAGATATTGTTTTAGGGGGGTGGCACTGTTGGCACACACGGGGCTGGTTCGAACAGTGATGAGCGAGTGAAAGAGGAGGCAGAGAGCGCACAAAGAAGCATCCAACGAAGGCAAGCGGGGATCTGGATTGTCATACGGGACAAGAGCGAGGAGACACCCCCCTCTCCAGTGGATAACAGCATCTCCCCCGCAAACAAAATCACACCATAAATTCAGCCACGGTCCAAAACAGTAAGTGGTTTTAATGCTGGGCAGATATAGCGGCTGTACTGGTTGCTGTTTGGCGTGCGTAATAGTGTGTACGTTGAGGGGGGGATTGGACAAAGAGCGTATACGGGAGCCCCATGACATCCGTGTATGTTGTATCTACAGCTGGCTAAACAAAGGAACCGCTCCATCGCCAAAAGATTCACCCTCTCTGCCTAATTTACTCTCCGCTCTCGCCAACCCACCTATTCGTTTTCACATTTTCGTCCAGACATTTGAATTTCCAATGTATTTTAAATGGAAATGGGTCATTATTATTTTTTGATTGGCCCCATCAACATTTGCATAATTGTTTAGTGGAATCTGGAGCAGCTCTTTGTCACTATGGGCTGTGAAGGAGGACATTTAAATAGCAAGTGCTCAGGATTTTTTTGGGCAAAATATGGGGACGTGCTGTGACGAGACAAGATGTACAAATTTCAGTTTGAATTATTGATGGCATTGGAAATATATTTAGTTTTTCCCTGATGAAGTAGATCCAAATGTTGTCTCATATTTCAGCTTAACAATTAGATGTGATAAAGAATAGATTGTTTTTAATTTCATGGCATGCCTTTAGTTTGTTTTAACATCACACTTCCCAATAGTAACCACAAACTAAATGCTGAATGCGGATATTTCTCACAACCATCACGCATTCCGACTTTTAAATCTATGTTTACTATTCTGTTTTCTTTCCTTTGGCTGCCTCTCTCAGCATCGGTCGCCCCTCTCTTGGGAACCCCGTCCTGCTGTGCCAGACGTCTCTCCACGCTGTCCCGATGAAGGAAGCCGATGCCATTAAGCTTTTTGTGGGGCAGATTCCCCGAAATCTGGAAGAGAAGGACCTCAAGCCTATTTTTGAGCAGTTCGGCAAAATCTACGAGCTAACGGTGATAAAGGACAAATACACAGGCATGCACAAAGGTAAGCCAGCATATGACATGGCAAATAGTGAAAAGCAGTTCTCCTCCTCAGTGGGCTTTGCCTCATGAAATCCTAGTTTAGATTTGATTTTAATAACTCTCATGGATTATTATAATGTTTGGATTAAGTCGTTTTTTCAATCTCTTTTAGAACTTGTTTATGGTGGTCGTGTTAGTCTTTGTGCTGTAAGATGGATTTAATCTTGCTTTACATGTGCATGGTTCAGATACATGTTTGACCAATATTTCATTAGTTAGTCCCATATTAATATTGGATTGTGCTAATATACTGACAGAGCTTTTCTCCGGTTTCTTACATAGTGTAGTGCTATAGTCCTGGTTCAGTCCTTGCATTCACAATTGCCACTTGAAAAATACCGAGCTCTCCACATCTGAGCCTCTCTGAGTGTCACACATCGCCATGGCAACTGTCACACCGTGCAATTTCTATCTTTTTCACACAGTCGGAGAATGGCCACAATAGAACTGCCTCTTGCCAATCAAAAATGCATGACAGATCCGTGCTGTTGGCCAAAACAATAAGATATGCTTCAATAAATAAATGTGCACAAACATTCCCCCAAAGGATGCCCACAATATGCATAAAACATAGTGACAATAGTCTTGTACCCACAGGCGGCTCCTTCTGTCCTGTGTCACACGCGGGTGCACACTGGGTCCTCTGTTATGGAGCAGATTAGGCTGTGTGCTTCAATCAGTGTAATGGCCCCATAAGCCCGGGTGACAGGGAAGAGTTGGTTGTTTGGAGAATCCCCTCTGCCCCATAAGCCTCTCTGAGAAGTGATGAGAGCGACATGACCACAAGATGCATGTGTGAGTGAGTGTGAGTGAGTGTGTGTGTCTGAACTATTTCACCATGGCTCTGCCAACAGCCAATTGTCAGGAAATGTTTATCTAATTGTCCAATCTTCTCTTGTTCACTCAAAAAGTTTGAGCTTGTCTGAGATGTAACCTGCTGCTAATCTTGTCTTAGTGCTGGTGACAGGTGTAGTAAACAGCCCTGGCCCCTGCTCTGGCAGAGTACCCACCCCTCCCCTCTGAGGCTCAGGTACAGCCCATAGGGACTGAGTGATCGTGAGGCATGCTTAGTGGTCTAGCACAGGAACATGAGTTAGCCCTGTTAGCCCTGCGCACACGTGTGTGGTGCTGTCGTGTGTGGCGTGCCGTTCTGAACCGTGCCGTGCCGTGAGTGCTCCTCTTCTGTAGTGACTGATCCTGCTGTTTCCACAGAAGTGACTGTGCATGACACTTTCAGGACACTCCACATGTGACCAGTAGAAATGCTTCAAATATAGGACATTATTGAGTGAATATTTATTGTTGTAAGTGTAAGATGAATATGTATGAGTGATGCTGCGAGCCTCTTTCACCCTTTGCCTGCGTGTTTCAGGATGTGCGTTCCTGACATACTGTGCGAGAGAGTCGGCCCTCAAAGCCCAGAGCGCTCTGCATGAGCAGAAGACATTACCCGGGGTAAGTGCTCAAAACACACTCATCCTCACTTATATAATTCACTGTTTTGAAGCCCCTCCCCCAAATGCACGGAGGCGCTGCTCTTCTGTCACAGAAGTGGGTTCCAAACCTCCTGTATGTTTATATTGCTTCTTTAGAAGCACTGACATAACCCGGCACCGTGGGGTCTCTGAGGACACTGCTCCTACGGGACAGAATCATCTCCCTGTCTCCCCTCCACGGAGCCTCCTGGAGCTGTGTGTAATTAACGTTGCCGCTCCCTCTCGTCTCCAGTCTCGTCTCAAACAGTTTTGGACGCGCAGCTCTGTTAGATGAGGCTGTATTAGCTCCATGTCTTCCTCTGGGCGCCCTGTCCCTTCTCTTTCATGTTCTCTCTGACCTGGTTTCTGCTGTAGTCAGTGAATGTTTTGGGCCATTTTTAACTTAGTCCCAAAAGAAGGAAAACCACTCTCTGTCAGCTATATTTAATGCACTGGATTAGTACACTTCCAGAAAGGAAGACCCGCATCCAAATCCAAATCGCCTTAATTTATGTCCACATTCTTTGCACAAGAAAGTTAAGAAAGTGCTGCACATTGACACACAGCAAAACAAGGACATGACAAACTCTCTGGACAGAGAACAATGTATACGGGAAGGTAAAATGTAAGGAATGGTTGCACACGCCTCCACCCTTGCACTGACACAGACACATGTATGCACTTATAAAACGCAGCACAATGACATAAATCCAATTAGGCCTTACTAAATAGCCTGACCTTTAGTACAATGCACCTTTTCACGGTGTGCCGCGGCCGCCGTCTTCTCTTACACTGCTCTTTGTCCTTTTAATCATCGCTATAATAACCTCCACTGGGCTTTACCTTCCGCTTTGTGTCCATGTCTTCGGTAATAGACTTGTTTTGTTGAAGGGGAAATTATTCGAAAGCTTTAGCAGTCAATAGTTGTGCCTTATTTCCCGATTACTGGTGATAAATATTCGGGACACAGCAGAGGAAACATTTGCGGAGAGAATACTCATTAGCGGTACACAGATTCACTAAAGAGGCAGCTCGCCACAATCAGAAGTTGGTTTCCCTGGAGGATGCTGGTGCCGAGGAAAGGCGGGTGTGGCTATCGTGCGCTGGTTCTCAATCAGCTAAAGTCTTAATGAGCAGCACTACTGTTTCCGCCTCAGCTTTTCTATAGTTTGACTCTCAGCCACCACACTGTACGCATCACTGGAATAGACTCAAGAAGACACAAAAATGAATAGCCAGATTTGATTTGAGTCTAATATTTTGTGTTTCTGGTTTGGAGTATTGGGCTTGTAGCTGTTTTGTGCTTTCAAAAGTTGTATGGAGCCATTGTTAGCAGTGTTAGCATCTGTTAAGCCATTGATACATTTTGGAAAGTCAAAATGGGAATACACGAAAAAATCTGAATCTTTCTAACACTTGTAAATAATATTTCTCCATTGTTGTGGCTCACTTTGATGAATCCTTTTATCATATCTTATAACCCAAAAATCTATATCTCGCTCTTGTCCAAAACTGGTAGAAATGTGATCTTCCTTTTTAGATTTTTTGTGTGCGTTTAGGATAGGGGTCTCCAACCTGCTGCTCGGGAGTTACCAGTAGCTCTCCATCCCCTTTTAGGTAGCTCTCCAAAGGAATTAAAATTTAACAAATGTTCTTGAATGAAATTTTTTTGATATATCTCTAATGAGTATTAATATAGGGTTATACAGTACTATGGTATTTTTTTTCACATGTGTTCGCCATGTTTTGTCGTAATTATCTGATCAATTTTTATTACGACTGCAAAAAGGAGTAGCTCTCTGCCTCTCAGTTTGTATAAAAGTAGCTCTGCGATTGAAAAAGGTTGGAGACCCCTGGTTTAGGGTTTTAGTTAGATTTATGTGTAGTTTGAAAGTTGGGTATTTCAGCTTTAAGTAAAATCAGCTTTTGCCCAAAAACAAAAACCCTTTTGTTTTAAAACTTCTTACCCTTACCTACTGTTGAGTACCCTAGTCAAAGCAATCTCGTCGGATCTAAACATTCACGTCCTAGAGGCTTGTCTCACATTTTCACAAAGACTGCTCCAGATTTGATTTGCTGTTTAGTCCAGACCTCGGCCACCGGACAGCAGGGGAGGCCAGTCCTGGAGAGACGGCTCATATGGCCCTAACATGTCACAGATGTACTTTGGTGCAATAGACCACAGAGAAAAAGAGAGGGAGAGACACAGGAAAGAACGCACGATGGAATTTGTGTGTGCACCACCCCCTCTCCTTCACCAACACGCCACCCGTCTGTCATATCCACTTTCCCTCGTCATTCCTGTTTTGTTCCTCTTTTTTTCTTCTCCTCCGCCCTTCTCACATAGTCATTTCACACTCATTTAAAGCAGCCCCCCACACTTTCTCCCCTCTCTCTCTCTCTCTCTCTTTCCTCTGCGTCTCATTTCCCTTCCTCTTGATTAGTTGACCCCTTTGACCGTTTCGCACCCCCATCTCCGCGCTCTCCAACCCCCGCCCGCCCCCCCACCCCTACCACACCACACCTCCACTCTCTCTTCCATAGCCCCACTTGTTAAGCTGCATGATTAGTTTCTCACAAACTCATTTTCATAGTCAAATTGTGCCGTATATATTTGACTTTACAGCAGGGAGGGGGAAAGAGAGAGGGGGGGGGGGTCTCTCTTTGGCGCGTGGGAACACTTGATTGACCGGCGCGCTTCGTCTCTGCCGTTTAATTGCGGCGGGTTCGTTCTCTGTCGCCGCTTTTACAGGCAGGTGGTGGAATTGAAATGAATTCCTTATTTGGTCCAGGGGCAGAGAGATTAACCGCGATGAAATGGACTCGCCAGTTGAAAGGGTTTTGCATTTGTATGGGTGTTATGTGATGTCTTCTGAGAGCGTCTTCATCCTACAGTCTGTTTAAAACCAGCTGACGCGCACGTGAGCGGTTTTATGTTTTGATTATTTTTGGGCGATAATACTATTTGGATGATATAAATGATGTTTTATACCAAGCAGGAAGCAGTGTGTGGACAAAAGTTGAAAGTCAAAAATTGCAGGAAGTAAAAGCAGGAAGTTCAATGAAAACCTCACAGTTAGACTCACATTTCTTATCTCTATAAATTATTCATGAAAAATAAAGAACCTCTTTAATATTTAGGCTTGTCAAATCATAGGTTAAGTTTTGCCCTCTGAGCATTAACAAGAAGGACTCCTGTGTAATGTCGCATAAGCATTTGCTACATCCAACACTTTTTGAACCATGTACTTGTGATTTTTATTTGTTTATTTGATATATGTGTAGAATATGTGTTATGCAGGTTGATAATAAAGTATCTAAATATAATCTCAAATTAATTTCAAAATCAGGAAGTAACATCTTAAACCCAAAGCATGGCCAATTTAGAATAATATTGGTCAGATTCGTAGAAAATCTGAAATTTTATTAACAACATTTTCAAATGAGTTCAGTCTGAACTTTGGACATTGCTCATGTGTTAAATGTACACATGTTAAAAGTTCATTTTGTCTTCTTATGTTTAAGGCTTTGAAGGTTCTTTTAATAAGACAAGAAAGTGAAGAAAGCTAAAGTATTAAGCAGTACTAGCTTTCTTTACTGTCTTGTCTTATAAAAAGAACCTTCAAAGCCTTGCTCATGTGTTGTTCTGAATTGTACTGAGTCTAACTTGGCGTTTGTTGGAATCATTTCAAAATCAGTCAGAAATTATTTGATCTAATTATTATTGAATGATTGAATATATCAGGTTCTTTGGTCGACCAATGTCTTACGTGTCAGATCAACATTTGAACATAAAAATCCCAGTAAGAACATGTGTAAAATCCTGGCTGCGACCCAAGCAAAAGAAAGAAAAGTGAATGGACTTGACATTCAAAAGTGCAGGAAAAAAGCGCTATAACCTTTTCTTGTGTGTTCCAAATAGCCTTTGTACGGTAACTTTGACATATTCATGTAGTCTATCTCCATAGCAGTACTTTAGGCAGAGTCCACCTGCTTCTGTCTCCCACTTCCGCTGTAATAAAAGCACATTACGACCATTCCTCACCCATTCCCATCGACGACTGTATGTCTACCAGCAGTTAACCGTTAAGTGGTGATTCCTCTTTGCCTGCGAGTAATAATAACGCCGATTAAACATACATCTCGTGTCATTCAACGCAAGCAGAGAAAGTCCCATATTTAACTCCCGCAGAAATCTTTGACAGAGGAACGAAGCTGAACAGATGGCCTTATCGGACTTGCGTTTAATTTGGACGCAGATAGACGGAGTGAGAGATAAGAGTCGCACAATGAAGGCCTGTATTAGTCACCCGAGCGGAAATTTAACAGCAAATCCTGCAGTTTAAGTCCTGAATATGGCCCCAGATGTTTCGCTGTGTCGTTGCGCCGCTGTGGAGGCTCCCTTTGGGACCGGGCCACGTTAAACTGTGCACTCAACCTCTTGTAAACCTTTTTTGTTATTGTTGCATAATTTTCCCCTTGTAGTTAAAACAAAAGAGACCGCATCAGGGAGCAAATCTCGTTTCCATAATTGTGGAAAATGTAATTGTGTTTCTTTTGCTGAGGAGTATTCTGATTAGATTTGTATCGCATAAACATGTTTATCTCCATACGAATAGGCAGGTGACGGCATCGGGCCAAGAGCAGGTCAGAGCCGCGGTGAGGTAGCTCCGGCAATAAAAACAGCTGTAACTATAGGTGATTACAAGAGGGGTGTGGTCAAGACATATATCATACAGTCACATATACCACTGTTCGCTTAAATTGGACTAATTCTGGTTCACTTCGGGGCAAAATGCTTAATTCGTGGAGATGTGGAAGATACTTTATTTGCCTCTGAAGTGAACCAAATCCACTTCCACTTGTCCAGTAAGTAATTCTTTCTAGGATGGGACAAATGATGTTAGTTCCCTTCATGAGCACTACATATATAGATATATATTTTTGAAAGACTGGTATTGAAGCATTTATAGCCTTTAT